AGCTTTCCCATTTTTCTCTGGTTTGCACTACCGGCCTCTGACAATAACATTTATTTCCTTGGTAAACATGGAACAGCTGAAAGGAGGGTCTTTACTTTTTTTGCTTATTTGCTTAGTATGTTGGGTTCTGATTAATTAATCAACTTTTATAAAATCAGTTAGGGCAACGCAGCTAAAAATGTGAAAAAATATGCTCTCGAAGTGAAACGGAGTTCAGTGGCCGCATCCTGCACCCCAAGTTGTTCTTTTGACAGTTGGAAAAAAGTTCTGGATAATAGTTGATTCTGTGATTAGCTGCTGTTCCACTCTTGCGTTCTTCACTGTCATTCATGCATCTGATTAATTTCACTCTACTGTGAGTTTTTCAATTCCCACCCTACTGTGAGTTTGTGTCATCCACACGGATTCTTACAGATTCTCAAGTGAATACTTTCACCACGTTGATGGCCTTTCCTGTAATCATTAACATTTGTGAGTACCATTCAACAACAAATAAGTTTTCCATTTTTGCCACATGGCCATTTTAATTCTTTCGTCTGGCGTACAATCTTCTTAAAAAATCATTTGCGCTAAACCACAGAAATGCTGCAATACTTTTCTAACGAAGTTCTCTAACTTGCTGAAATTCCAGGTGCAATTCCGTGGCTGGTTTTTTCGGTGCTAAACTTCCCTCTCGGCAAAAGTACTTCATGCTTCATGCTTTACTTCCATGCAGCAGATTTGGTAATGCAGAGAAACTGAAAAATGCTACTTTCACAGTTGGTGCTCTGTAGTGTTGGTAAAGCGCTTCCAAGATTAGTGAAGGCTATCCACCCTGCTCTTTTTCTTCTGCTCTACTCCACGTTTAACTCATTATTCGTCCATATTATTTGTTTTATGTAGCTATATTTCTCCATTAGTTCAATAGGCTGATTCTTGAAGCTCATATGGAACTGCGAGACTATTAATATTTTTAATCCGCTTAATTTTACCTCCAAATTTAGATATCAGTTTCCTTTGCAGTAAAAATAATTGCAAAGATTTTTTGTTCTAGAGGATTTCTAGGCCTTATATTGATAATTTTTATGGCTGCAACTTTAACAAGAAATCGGTGCCATGTGGGCAACGATATCATTGAAAAATGGCTGGGGCTAATTCACGGGCCGGCAGCGTGTGTGAACTGAGATGTAAATGCCGAGAAACTCAGAAATTTTGAAAGTGTTCTGGAAGAGCACTGCGCTGATTACAACCTTTATGATAGGGATAAATTGTTCATTATTAGTGAAATGTTCTCTTCACTCATTTCATTTGTCGGGACACAAGCGCGTTTTCTTGTTGATTCTCAGTGAAATAGGTTACATTCATTAATAGTTCCAGACAGTGGATCTTCTTGCTCCCTGCTGTTTCTAGAAAATTTGGGTGGTTTCGGTACGACAACTATATCCATTCCAGTAATCTGATCCACTTCCGATCCATTCGCTGCTGATCCGATCTCGCTCAATCCCGCAGTTATTTTGAAACAATGTACCCATCAATTTATGTTTTCATCTTGTGGCTCGCCAGTTTATGCAGTTTAACTCAAGGTCAAATAATCACTATTTTAATTGTCACTTAAAAGAGATTTTAAATATCAGTAGACATTTTCTGGGTCTAAGAAGCAAATTTAAAGCTATATGTAGAATGCTCTGGGGCTTTCTCAGGACCGCTCGGCGCAAAATGGAAAAACGAAGCATTCTTTATGTGATTTGGTATTTTCGTTTTTTCATTTTTTTTCCGGATTTGCAAATCAAACAGCTAGGGTTTAGCAGCAAATATCCTAAAACTACTGCTT